GTGTTGTGGACTGAGTGGCGAGTACTTTTTCAGTCCACAGAATATCGAGGGTATGTCTAGACTACATGTCTCTGCCGACAGAGGCATGTAAAATAGGCTACCTGACATAGTCAGTGAAGTGGGGATTTAAATATCCCTGGCTTCATTAAAATAAAAATGGTTGCTGCGCTGTGCCGGCTCAGCTGATCGTCGGCACAGCGTGCGAGTCAAGACACAGATCGGTCGAAAGGGAAAGCCTTTGTAGACTGCTCCTGTAAACCTCGTTCCACAAGGTATAAGGGAGCGGTCTTCCCCTGTCGACCGATCTGTGTCTTGACTCGCATACTGTGCTGACGATCAGCTGAGCTGGCACAGCGTGGTGGCCATTTTTATTTTAATGAAGCCAGGGATATTTAAATCCCCACTTCACTGACTATGTCAGGTAGCCTATTTTACATGCCTCTGTCGGCATAGGCATGTAGTCTAGACATACCCCGAGTGCCAGCACATTGGGTTCTGTTGCTGGGAATGCTGGTCTCCAACATGAGATACTCAAGTAAAAGTCTATCATCCTGTGTCCGAGCTCCCTTGACACTTTGTTTTTAGCCATGGTGTCCTGGCCAAAGTGCAGTTTGGCATAATTCAATTCTACCTGCTTTAAAATTTCTCCAGAAGTTTTTTTTGGAGACCAAGTTCCAGTCACGTTCAGTGGGAAACCAATTGAAACCGTGTTGGCACCTTTGCTTTTTAGCTTTGGCTGGAACTGGCAAGTACAGAGGAGAATGAAAGAGCAAACACTTCATTCTAAAAAGAAATTTTGAGTTCTGGTTCTCATTATAACCAGATTTATTCAGATTGAAGTGGGAACAGTTGATTGAAGGAGGGTAAGAGAGGAGGGTTGTTGCAGATAAAGTATCCAGAGAAGATAAATACCTGCTCAAGTGTCCAAAGGTCACACAGTAGAGAGAGCCTGGGTAGGTAGGAGGTCTAATAGAGAAAAAGGAAAGCTGGGAGAATCAATGTTTTCAAAGTAGTAAATATTAGTAAAGTGGTAGATTGCAGTATATCTGTTTTCCTATGTGAGGACAAGCGCATCCATTGCAACAACAGGGCATATCAACACTCTTGCTTGAGCTCTCTCATTCCAGACTAGACCAGGCATGAAGATGAATAAAGCAAGGAGCACTTCAAAACTAGAATAATTGTATGGTGAAACCTACTATCCAGGCTTTCTGTGGCAGGATCCATCTTCTTTTTTACATGCCTCTACAGTGCTTGGCACAATAGCAGCCTGCCAGGCCTGCCGAGGGTGGGGGGACAGGAAACTGCCTGGTCAGGTGATTCAAAAGGGGCCGGGGCTCCTGGCTATGTCAGCCTTGGGCCCTTTAACTCACTGCCAGAGCTCTGAGTGGCAGACTCTGACTGGCTCTGAGGGCTGGATAGGGAGGAGGGGAATGGCATGGTCCAGGCGGCACTGAGGATTAGCTGCCCCAGCCCTACCCCATCTGCCCAAGGCCCCACCCCTTCCAGAAGCATGGAGCAGGCCCACCCCACCCCTTCCAGAAGCATGGAGCAGCCCCACCCCCCTTACCCAGGGGCCTGGCAAGTCTGTCGGCTTCTTTGCACCCTGTTCCTTGACTATGAAGTTCCTGGGTGCTACTGCAATGCAAATAATTAAGAAACTAGCATTTCTGGGGGATGCCTGTTCATTGCACTCATTGACATCCCTGGGAGTCATATATCTGAATCAGAGGCCAGAATTTGGTCATACAATGGGACAAAACCAAGTTGTGTTTAGTTCTGGGCCTGTGACTGGCTCTCTATCCAATGTGTGTGGTATCAATGACATTAGTGTTATGCAAGTTTGCTTATTGGTGAAGCAAGCTATTCTCTTGCTATTGGTGCTCAGCTAAATGCAATGATATTGCAAAGTAGGAAAGCAGCTCCATTGCAGACGCAATCAGATGTGAAAATAGCTCATCAGGATTTCAATGTAGTTTTTTGTCTATCTGTTACTTATATGGCAAAAGAATAGATGGAAATAGAAGTAAATAGCCGTGGAGATGGCCGCTGGGCTTTGTGCTCTGAGATTCTGTAAAGAAATGAAAAAGTGAGACCCTTTGGCATCAAAGAGCAGACAGATGATGCAGGCTTTATGCCAGGCAAGTTTACAATACAGGTCTCAGTACATCTGCAACTGCAGAAACTGGCAAGATCCAAAGGCTTGGCCTGTGTGCATAAAGACAATGTAAATCTATTCATGTAGAAAAATGGATTTTTTCTAATAGCTGATCTATGGCCTAAATTAAAACCATATTTTGGCATGTATATAAACTCTGCTTATTTCTGTATGCCCATTTGCTGAAATTGTGCATGTGAATGTAGGCAGTGAAGTAAAGGACATGCCACACAGGTTCCATGTGGGTCAGTTGGGAAGTTGTACCTATTGAAGCTGCATCAGCCTGAATCATGCTGAATCTCATGAGAACAAGTTGAACCTTTGCTGAAATCTCTATAAAACTGGTCTGTTCTACCTCTTCTCTAATACTGCGTGTGAGTATTCTAGTTTTTAATAATTAAATTATTATAATGTGTGTGTTAAAGCTAGTTGAAAAACATGTTAAATTTGCCCTATGGATTGCAAAGTTTCCAAGCAGCACTAAAATCCATCAGAATACATACACATGGGTTGTAGTCTGCTCTCATTCACACTGACTATAATATAACTCTACGAAGCCAAGAAGCCAAAAAACTCCTAGCTAAACAGGAGCACCTTTGAAGAAGTTGCATACAGTGACATCAGTGATAGACTTGGCCCATTGCCTAGATTTACAGCAGCAGAACTGAGAGCAGTATAGTATGGTTCACATGCTTTCAATTACTTCAAACTTGTTCTCTACTCTCAAAGTGCTTGTTCTTTCAAATTGTTCTGGTGTTTTAGCCGATTGAGCTGTTATAGTTTCATCCACAGCTGAACAGTTGGCAGGAATGAAATGTTTTTTTTGTCCAAATCATTTTAGTTAAGGGTTATTTTCTGACGTTTTTGGTTGATATGACTGGTGGCTAGTTTCAGAACTGGAAGGCAAAGGCACTGCTTGCATTAAGAGGAACAAAGTGTGTTTCATCTCAGCAAATAGTTTCCAAAAATTAGGCACGATGGTTTATTTTGGTGTCTAGTGACTGGGATCCATTTTGGTGTCCAGTCACTGGGATTTATCTCCTATAAAAAGATTTAATATTTTTATTGTATCAAATCTGGTACTACATAGGGTTGTATTTTGGTCTCTGTGCTGAAGCATGGCTATCTAGATCTTTATGAGTAACAATGGGAGTAGACCTCCCATTTCTATTTGCTCCTAAAATACAGGCCCCTACTGCTAGAGTAGAATCTCCATTAGTTATCAGCAGCATAGGGATTATGACATCCACCTGAGACATCATGACTTCACCCAATAGAAACCATAATAAAGGAGATCTCAGGGATGGCAGGGGGAAACCTAGTATTAAGTACAATGCCACATATAATAACATTAAAAGAAGATTGAGAGCCTATTGGTCTTCAGTCATACAGCTGCAAAAGCTATCGTTTTAAATTTCTGGTACTCTGGTTAAAGTCAAGTAACCCTGTATAATGTAGTATTAGTGTTGATCAAAATTTTTCCCTCAAAACCAAAACTGACAGATTTTGGTTTTAATTAAACAGCTTTTTGCAAAGTATTAGCTTTCAAAACCTACATTTGATTGATTTTTGGAAAAAATAAAACGATTTGGCTGACGACTGAAATATTTAGAATTTGAACATGATGTTGCAGTGCCTCATGGGAGTGGTAGTTTAGCTGCTTCGTGTTCCCATTTTCCTGTAGGTACCAGGCTCCCAAGAATGAGAAATGCAGCATCATTGGGTATGTAGTCTAACCAGAAACCCCAGTCTATAAAGGAGACTTGGAACATAAGGCACCATGGCATCACTTCTCAATTAACCTTTTCAGGTTTTGGCCCAAATATTTATGTATTTGAGCTTTTGCTGAAAGACAGAGATCCCAGTTTCTGTATAGTATCCAAGATAACGCAGCATAGTGGCTTTAATTCTCCACTACCTTGCACCTTGTGAAATCATGTACTGCTGCACAAAGTGGATAAAACATGATCCCAATTCAGATTTGGTAGCATTTTTACAACTCTTTTTACGTAGGCGTAAAGGCTGGTTCAAGGAGCAAATCGCAGAGAAAGGGTTGCTGGGTATCTGGTATTGAACCGGGCAGTTCAGTATTTTCCACCTTCTGTCTAGTAAAAAAAATTCAGAAAATATCGGAAACCTAAAATGTCCGGAACTTTCTGATTTTTTTTTCCCCGGCCAGGAGGTGAAAATCCCAGGCTGTCTGGCTCAATATGGAGGCAGCCTGGCAACCCTAGTGCTTACCGGGTTCCACAGGGGAGCTATCTGGCCCTGCACAGGGAGGCAAGACGGCGGGTGGCCGCTGGCAGCCTGTTAAGGCCAAAAAGCCTCACACGTGGTTTTTAAAGGGGTCATGGTGTTGGGTTTTTTGCTTAACAACTCTCTGGGTCTTTTTCCTTTTTGTTGTTGTTCGGTATTTTTTCTGAAACCATCTGGCAACCCTACGTGGAGAACAGGGCCCAGTCAGTCGGAGCCATCGAATGAGAGAGGCCTTCTGCTGATTTAAGTACAGTGTACTTGCTGTCATTTCAAGGACTTACTGCCTGGCTGAAAATTCATGGTGACAGAAGTGAGATGAGCTAGTTCCGAAGCACCCTGCTTAAGAATTGACAAGTACTGGTACACTATTTGCCATTCACCTAAATTATGCTTTTCCCCAGGAGAACAATGCTAAGGAAGACAGACTTCCCACTTAGCTGCCTGTTTCAATAGACCTGTGAAATGTATTCTTGTTTCCCATCCTAATATAGCACCACAGGATCCTGACCGGTAGACAGTGATTTATTTAAGATTTTTTTCAAAACCGTGAATATCTACCTATTTTTGGAGCTACTGTTTTACTCACCAAATTAACTAGCCGTACCACAATTAGGAGAGGAAGTATCTCTGGAATTGGGGTGCTGGGATTAATGGTATTCCAGGTCACATTCAGATGAGCTTTGATCTATACTGGGAACAAAAAGTCTCTGTAGAGTCTGTGCAAGCTGTACAAGCAAACTTCTGATTAAGAGCATATGTTTTTTCTGCCTGATTAAATGCCATTTTCAGCTGCCGATGAGAGACCTACTTTATTTATTCCTATTTCAGTATGAGCTATTGGCTTTTCTTTTCTTCTTGCTTTGCTCTAAAGTGAGGATGTCTTCACAGAGCAATTACGATCAGCAGCTGGAAGACCTAGCTTAGCTTTATAATCATTATTTTTACATTAAAGTACTAATCATAGCAGTCAAGCAGAACTATATAATCTGATGCCTTTGTTTCATAAAGATAGTTTCCCCTTCAAAGGAGGAAATGCTTCTGGTCCTTTTCACATTAGCCAGGGGGCAAAAGGTGCCAAAATCTATTCTTCAGTTAAAAAAGATGGATGCACCAGGGACTCCAAAACGGAGAAAGAAAAAATGGAAAATATTGGCTGCAAATGCTCCTGGTTAGTGCTATCTATCAACATTTTGGGATCTAAAGCCATGTCTGCATTGGGTCAGGGGAGAGGATAACCAGTGCTTAAATTTGACACTTTATGTATGGGTTTAAACAAAGACTCTAATTATCTCACCCATTACAAAGATAGCTTCCCCAATTATCACCCCTAATGTCATTACCTCACAGACACTAACCTTCCCCCCTCACTCCCACTCTGTTCAAAAAATGTGATTTGTCAATTTCACATGTGTTCATTTTTTTGATTGTATCACTTTGGTATATATGGTTGTGCTGATTTTCTTCCACTATTTGATTTGAGGAAGTGGATCTGGCCCACGAAAGCTCATCACCTAATAAACCCTCTTGTTAGTCTTTAAAGTGCTGCATAGTTCTGTCTTTTGTTTCAGCTAGACGAGGCTAACACGGCTGCATCTCTATCACTATTCTAGTGCAGAGTAGGTATTGCTAAACAGCTGTTCTTTATTAACTTCTCATGTGGACTTGCTTATTTCACTGTAAGGGCATGTCTACACTAGGATATTATTTTGAAAAACTCCTGAAATAACTATTTTGAAATAGCATGTTTATTCTACAGGGAAGCCTCAAAATTAATCTGAGACAGGCTCCCTTAATGTGGACGAGCTACCTCAACTTAAAACCCCAGGAAGCACTGGGCAGTAATTACTTTGAATGACTCTGGAGAGTAGTTATTTTGAAACAGCAGTAGTGGAGCATTCACACTACCACCATTTTGAAATAAATAAGTGTTATTCCTCATGGAAAGCTGGAGTTATTTCAATTTAACCAGCCCGTCATTATGAAATAACGGTCTTGGTAGTGTGGTTGCTCTGCTTGTTATTTCAAAATAAGGGGAGTTAATTCAAAATAACTCCTTAGTGTAGACCAGGGTTAAGAGTGCTTTCATGGGGTTTAGCTAATCCCCTAAAGGCACCCTTAGAGTGACATAAGAATGTTCACCTGGGGGATCACCCTAGCTATTTTGCATTAATTTTCCATGAAGACAAGCCCAAAAGTTTCCTTGCTCATTCAGAAACAGTTGAAGAGTCTAGAAGGTCCGTGCTGTTCAACTATGAGAGCAGCAATGGACAACTTAGGCTAGCTAGTGGGCCACCTGAATAACCCTCCTTCATCTCAGTGGGTTACAAGACTGATTCCCGGGATAGGATTGTTTTGCTAAATGCACTTGTGTACCTAGAATTTGTGCTTTGATTGGATGCAGAGGGACCACACAGCTCTTACAGTCGATGTTGTGCGCAGTTAGCACATACCTCACTTTCCATGCCCTTGCTTTATGTGCATGTTGCTTTAGAAATACCAGTGGGGAAAAAAATGACAGACAGAAACCAGTGGAATCTGGCAACTCTGCACGTGGGCAACGATAAACAAAATGTCTCACGAACCACACAGAGAACGCTGATGGACCTCAGGTTGTCTACTACTGTTCTAAAAAGTGCAGACAATTTTACACTAAAAATTCATAAGGCGGAGAAATAACCAACAGGAGTTAGAGAAAACTGGCTGTGGTTAAGAAAATTCACCAGATGTGTGATGCTGTAGACTTTACTCACACGCACATTTCCATTGGCTGGAGAGAGGCCATATTGCCTAGTGGATACAAAACTAGAATTAGAAAAGGTGGATTCTGCTCCCAGTTTGGCCACTAGTATGCTCAGTGATTGGGGACAGTTATTTTAATGGGTCTTTATCTCAGTCTCCCCATCTGTAAAATGGGGAGAAGGATACTGACCTCTTTTTTCCAGATGCTTTTTGATTTACAGATGAAACATGCTATAAAAGATCTGGGTATTGTTTGTATTATCTTCATATGTGTAACAGTCTGTTTCTGGCTGTTTAATCCAGGGCACCCAATAACTCAAGATTGGATCCCTTATGAAGAAAATTATATATATATATATATCCCTCCATTCTTTAATTTAGGTATATTCAGGTGGCTAAAACTATAGATTCATTGAAAATAGATGAGTGAGCCCAGGAGGGTTCTAATGTCAGCCATCTTTATGCAAGAATTTTACTCCCGGTGTGAGGATTATGCCATGTAGGAGGGCACTCCATTGGAGAAAGTGCTATCCACCCTCTGCTAGTAGAGCAAAAAATAATTAACAACATGAAAAATGAGCACTCTATTTCAATGTGGCATTTTCAGAAAAAAATGCCTCCTACTCTGGTGCGTGGGTGAGTGAATATCTACCAACTAAAGCTCCCCATTCCGCATTTCTGATTCAGTATTACCTAACGAGTGTAAATTACTTTGGGCCAGAATAACAACTTGGGATGGGTAAAAGGAATTAACGTTAGTGAGCAAATAGCTCTTCTAAATCCTTTTTTTTTTCTTCAGAATTGCTTTTAACATTAATGACTGTTGTTTCCAATCTGGATATATAATTGGTAAACAAAAAATACTTTATTTAATACAAGATAGTGTAAGGACAACTTTATGAACTTTTACACTGGAGGGTCAGCTGAAAGATGTAACAGTTTAAATGCACAAAGCATTATATTCTGTGTAAGTGAAAAGTCACCAACAAAGTCACACCAGAAGTGCCTGATTATTGAGCCTTTTCCAAACTCTTAAACATTTGTGGGTTTTTTAAAAGACACATGAATGTATAATTGAAAATGTTCCTTTTTGTGTGTGATTCATTGAACCCCACGGCCAGTAGCTCCTCTTGATGAAACCTCAACCTATCCTATCTTGACTCAGCCTTAAAAAGCTGTGATTGCATCTTGCAAGCATATAACCAGACATTCCCTGCTCTGTCTCCTGGAGTTTGGACCCATTTGGTGGGGGGATGGGTGATTAGTTCCAAACACCTAGTCCTGGGGTGGCCAACCTGCGGCTCATGAGCTGCAGGCAGCTCTTCAAAGAAAAAATTGTGGCTCCCGCAATTCAAGGGGCAGCTGTGTGAAAGAGACAGAGCTGCAACATCCCGTATATCCTTCAAAATGGCCACCGTTACAAGGGCAATGCCTGCTCTGCTCTTAAAAGGGCAGTGTAAGCCCCCCCTTTTTTTTGCTTGACCAAACGCAGTGGTGGCTGGGCCTTTTTTTAGTTTTGCTCAACAACTTTTTTCCCCTCAGCTCTTTGCACTGTATCCACCACTGTTTTGGCTCTTCGTCTGTAAAGGGTTGCCCATCCCGACCTAGTCCGTCTTTCTAGGTTCTTAGCATATGATATATACTGTGCTTTAAAGAAATAAACAGTGCTGCAGTCTCACAGGACCCTTCTAGATCACTGAACCATATAATCCCAACATAGCTAATAACTTAGATCAAACCCTTTTTAGGCAGCTTATGTCATGCATTGACAAGCATCATTGAACCTGGGACTTCTGGAACTTAGTACACGAGCTTCTACAGCTTGAACTATAAACTAAGGTAGTTGAATAGTCATGTAACCACACAAAATATTGTCAGTTACATGACTATTTGATAGTTCCTGGAAGTAGGGCCAACAGCCAGTGTGCTCCTGGCCCCCTCTCGGGGAGCCCCTTGCCATCCTGTGCTGCTGCATCTGTACCAGTTTATAAACCAGTTCCCTGTGCAGACTGGCTGCCTGCCATCCCGTACTGCTGCCTCTGACACAGAGGCAGCAGTGTGGGGTGGCAGCAGTCCCTGTCCGTGGTGGTCTGAGCTCCCCACAGACAGAGGCTGCTGCGCGTTGGGAAGGGGGCGGCGGAAGCTGCCACGGGAGCAGCCTCTATCTGTGGCGAGCCTGGGCCCACCACAGACAGAGGCTGCTGCCGCAAAGCAGCTTCTTCCCTCAGGGGGCCTGAGCTCCCCGCGGAGACAGGCTGCTCTGCATCCCATGGAGCAACCTCTATCTGCAGAAAGCCTCAGCTCACCGCAGTCAGAGGCTGCTCTGTGAGGTGTGGAGCAGCCTCTGTCTGTGGGGAGCTTGGGCCCACTGCAGACAGAGACTGCTTCGCGGCAGCCTCATCTACCTCCACTCCCTGTACTGCTGCCTCTGACAGAGGCAGCAGCACAGGGTCGGGGTGGGTTCAGGCAGCACCATGGAGCCGGTGCTGGAACCAGCTCCTGTTTCTCTCCCTTGCTGCCTCTGATACAGAGGCAGCAAGGGGTGGTGGACTGTGAGTAATCGACAAGCCTAGAAAGCCTAGGCTTATCTGTTAATTGTCTAGTTGACTACTCATGGACATCCCTACTATAAACCCAGGTGACTTTCAACTAAGTCTGTAAAGGAAACTCATTCTTTTTCTCTCTCTAAGTGGTCTAAGTGCCACTACATGAGACTGCGACCCACATCCTGAAGGAATAAATGCCTTACAAAGGCATAAATCACATTTTGCGCTCTGGCTACTGGTGTGCCTGGTCCTTGAAGATGCTGAGCCCTGCGCAGGCAGTGCTAGACTTCTCACTGATGTCTAGCTGGTGAGGCTGAAATATCAGAGTGTGTAGGGAGGAGTGAATCATAGCCTTGCCCACCATATGCTCTAGCCATTAGGATGGGGGTAGGGGGATTGT